TAAAAGAATGAAACTTGGACGAAAGAAAAGTAATTCCGACTGAAATTTGTTACCAGGAGGTGGAGGAATAATACAAAGGAGTGACGGCCATAGAGAGATGGTAGCTGTGTCCCCACTGTCTGCTACAGCCAGTTTGAATGTGGTCGCCTCTAACCTGCATATAAGGCACTCCAGAGACCTCTAGTGTTAATAGGCTTCTGTGGTTCATTGTGGGCCTCACCTTGAGTAAATCTGGGGCCATTTCACTATGTAGGACACTTGCAAGATTGTAAAGATGGTGCGTTTCCTTTCTGTACATCTGTCCATCTCACCGTGATTTCCGCACTGACAGAGAGAATATGGTGAGACCCCACAGTATATTTTATAAGCATACTTTCCCATGAATCACATAGCAGGAAGAGACTTCAGAGCGACTAGAATAGGATAAAGTACCTTGGTAAAAATCTTCCACCTTACTGCAATGAAAAACTGCATTCCTGATAAGAAGATATGAGTTCTCCATGGTCCTACATTGTGTTTGCTGACTTATTGAATGAACTTGAGGTGCATGTTGAATTCTGCACTGTTGACTATCGTCTGCCATTGAATAAATGCAATGTGCCCATATATTAGGAGTCATATTTGTATATCTATATAGAGTTACAGACAGACAGAGGGTTTTTATTCTGTGGTTTTTAAGTCTCTTGTGGCTATCCCTCTTTCTCCCTTCCCCCTCTTTGTTTTTCTCTCCTCTCTGTCTTTCTCTTTCGTCCTCTGTCTCTGTTTCTCTCACTCGCACCCCCTCCCTCCTCCCTCTTTCTCTTGATCTCTCTCTTCCTCTCTCTCTTGCTCTCCCATGCCCCCCTCTTTTTCTCGCTCTCTTATGCTCTCTCTCCCTTCTCTTTCTCTTTTCTTTCCATAGCGCTCTGTCTCACTCCCTCGCCCCCCTCTCTGTTCCTTTTATATCCTCCTTGCTGAATGCTCTTCTCCTCTCCTCCCTCAACTCTGTCTTTTCTCTTTTATATTCAGTCTTTTTTTTTCAAGCTCTCCCCACACTCCTTTCTCCAATGTTGTCTCCAAGCAGAGCTATTTCATTGCTAATATTCTGTCTTTCCTTTTAGCACCCCCCTACAAAATGGGGAAAGTAATCTTTTATTTAGGGTTTTTTGCTATGGCCATCTCTGCAGCATGTCTTATGGTTTGCGTAAGAATGATTCGTTGAGTGAATTTAAGACTTGATTTGTGTAAATTTTACAGTAGAAAAAGGGGTGAAACAAGCAGACACGGAAAGCATATTCTTTTGTTTATTTGCTTGAAGTTGCACATGATTCACCAATAGTCTGCCTTGTTTTAGCATGTACTGTATGCTTCACATTTAAAGTTGCTCTCCTTCACACTGGTGAGTATGTCAATACTGATAAAGACTGAAGCTTTGGTTTTTTTTTTTTTTAAGTTTGTGCTCTCTGACTGTGTGTCCAGTCTGTTCTTACTGACCTTAATGGAAGAAGCTGGAGGCGTGCAACTAGGGTGTGGCTGCTTTTATACACTTTTGCTATATTCCATCTGCATTGCTTAGTTTCAAGCTGTGCTTGTCTGTTTTGTGCCTATGAAAAAAGCCTGCTGTGCTTTTTTGTGAAAGCTTAATTACAGCAGCTAATCATGCTTGAGACTTACTATTATATCAGCATGTCGTGCAGAGGTGAGACTGATCCAGCACTGGAAATAACAGAAGGTGTGTGGGCTTGCTGCCTTAGCCACAGGTCTGAGAGGAATGGCCGGCTGAAACATCAACATCAGTCCAATAACTGAAAGTTCAGAACACAGAGCAAACTAATTCCTCCCTTCTCGTTCTCAATCTTGATCATAAGAAAGCCCTCACCTGGGCACTGTAGCTATAACAACCCCATACACAAACCTACACTGCTTCCATTTTGCTTGACAGTGAAAGGATGTTGAATTATAGCCATCACCCAGCACAGTGTCTCACGCACGGTCAGAGCAAACTCAGGCTGTATGCAGTCTGTCGTTGGGCTGGATGAAGAAACAACCCTGACAATG